GTCAAAAATGACAATTAATCACTAAATTCTGAAAAATAAATTCTAATTCATGTGTGGGTCTCCTGCACACCTACCTTATGGGCATTTATGCAGGTGTGTGTCTGATTGCACAAATGAGTGTGGTATCTGTTTGAATATGCACCCAGCCCCGTGATTCCTGGGATAGGAAGGTGTATGTATGTTTCAGATAAAATACGCATGTAGATTCTGTTTTTTTTAGTCCTGTAACTTTCTTATGCTCTGCAGTGGTATTTGCAAGATTACGATTTATTTTTGAAAAGGAGCATTATACACTGCTTCAAACTGATTTAATTCACTCATAGATGTGTGCATGTACTTGAAGTCATACACTAGCAATGAAAGGTTCCACACACAAATACATGCAATATTCTTGATTCTTCTAACAATTCTACACATCCATCCATCTTCCATCCATTCATCTTGATCAGGGTCACGCGACAATTATTTCCCAAGAAATTAAAAAGAAATGGTTACAAGACTTCAAACGATAAAAAAATAATCAAGGAGCAAATGTTTACAATAGTGAGGCATGAATACATTTCTGGAGATCAAAAGAGTCTTCAGTGAAAGGTCGTTTGGTGGATAAAGGCTCACAAGTATCGGGGCTTGTGAAAGGAACCGGCACAGCGCTTTGTGAACCTGAGCGACAGCGAGAGAGAGAGAGAGAGAGAGAGGGAGAGAGAGAGAGAGAGGGAGGGAGGGAGCGCTCTACACAGGCCTCTGCCCCCTCACCGTTCTCGCTTCCCATTTAATCGGAGATGCCGCATTTGCTAAATCTTCACCCAGCCAAAAAAAATCAGTGCAGTCAAAGCCGCTACTGAAAAGCCCAAAATAAATGTGGAATTTGCTGTATTATATCTGCATGTTTCTCCTTGGCATTCATTGCCTGGCGAAGGCAGCAGGGGTCGGGCTGAGGCCTTTCAGGGAGAGCATGAGTGAGGCTTCATCGATGTGCCGGCCACAATGCACGATCCCGTGCAATGCATTATGGGTGTCACTATGATGTTTCCTTTCTTCAGGTAGTGAAACAGAGTAATGGATATTACGGTCCCCATAAAGAAGCATAAATCCATCCATTCATCTTCTCATCACTTACCTAGGTTAGGGCACCTCAAACCTGTTTCATACAGGACATATATTTTCAGGGCATATATATCCACCGATCAGCCATAACATACAAACCACCTGCATAACATTGTGTCGCCAAAACAGCTCTGACCCGTCGAGGCATGGACTCCACAAGACCTGTCTTGCCTTCTTCCCGTAGTGCATCCTGGTGCCATCCCTTCCCCAGGAACACAATGCACATGCATCAGGCTGTCCTCATGTGTCAGGCCTTCTTCCATTGCTGCAGGATTCAGTTCTGACGCTCACGTGCCCATTGTAAGCATAGGCACTCTGATTGGTCTATGGCTACGCAGCCCCATACGCAGCAGGCTGTGATTGGCTGTGTGTTCTGACACCTTTTTATCACAGCCGGCATTACCTTTTTAAGGCATTTGTGCTACAGTAGTTCTCTTGTGGGATCAGACCAGACAGACTAGCCTTCACTCCCCACACACACCAGTGAGCCTTGGACATCCATGACCCCTTCACTGGTTCACCAGTTAGCCTTCCTTGGGCCACTTTTTGTAGTTACTGACCACTGCATACTGGGAACAACCCACAAAACCTGCCATTTCTGACATGCTCTGACTAGCCATCAAAGTCTGGCCTTTATCAAAGTCACTCAGATCCTTATGCTTACCCATTTTACCTGCCTCGACTTTAAGAACTGACTGTTCACTGATAATCAACGTTATTCACTTCCCCTGTCAGTAGTTTAATGTTATGGCTGATTGGTATATGTAGTATATATATTTTTCTGAGTGGTTTATATGAACTCAGAATTGAACCGAAAAGAACATCATTGCAACTGTCAGCCGTCATGTGTAAAATTATAACCACTTCTGATGTAAAAAAAAACAAAACAGTTTTTCTGTGCAATTCTTTCGCAATGTTGTTAATGCCTCATGCAGGCATCATGTTTTTGGACATCTCCAGTACCAAAAACAGGAGGCAGGTAATTACCTACACGGCAAGTCAAGAGACCATTTAAAATGTACACAAGGCAGATATTAGTCATTCCCTTTCGCCCTTGGCATGAGGAGGAAAGTATATTAAAATGAATGAGATACTGCAAGTCACCAGCTAAATGATTAGCACTTTAAAAAATTGACTCTTTTAAAAGTGAATTACAAATATGGGAGAGCACAAGCACATTCACACACACACACACACACACACAGGGACACACACGTTTGTATTCATATCTTTGTGGGGACCGTTCATTCATTGCTGTGGGGAAAACCCTATTCCCAACATGACCACCTTAACCCCTACCCAGCCCTAACCTTAATCATAAGTAACCAAACAAAATACAAGACTTTTGGCATTTTTAGTTTTTTGATTGCAATCAGATATAAAATTGAGTTTCCCCATTAGGGGACCGACAAAAAGTCCCCACAAGGTCAAAATAATAAGTTTCTATCACATTATGGGGACATCTGGTCCCAAAATGTAATATAAAGATAACCCACACACACACGCACATTCACACTCACAAACACATGAGGGGCACTCAAAATGAAACTGATTTGCATTTTTAATGTAAAAATCTCACATGATCCTAATAACAAAATCCTAAGTAGTCACTATTCAGTCTCACCTGCAGGAAAAAAATAACATTTTGCATATCATTTACAAATTCAATTTTAAATGTGCTATCTTTACAATACAGATGCCCTGTTGTTTCCACAATTTCCGTGGAAAACAAAAGAGGCTCACGTTAGTACCAGATTTATACATTTTAGAGATTTACTTTGCAGTACACTAATCAACTCGCATTCATTACTCTCTCTTGCATTACAAGTCATTTATTCACATATGTTAATTACTGTCACATGCATTTTTAAATACATGACCAAATATTAAAATAGACTGGTCATACTGACTTTTAACCATCTATTAAAAGTGCTCTGACCATCACAGAAGTAATATTAAATGTTTCCCACTTTAATTAATCATTTAATGAAACTAATAATGAATGTTATCAGTTTGGCCAAGTTGGAAGGGTCGAAAAAACACATGTGATCATTTTTATACATTGCAGAAAAGAAATCATTTGCATTACTAGGACTCAGTACTGAAATTCCAGTCATGGCTAAATAAAAGCGACATTTTCTGACAAGTGGAGTGATGTGAAAAGTAGCACAAATCTCTAATTATTCTCATGCTTGTTTGAAGAGCCTGGTGTCTCTCGGTGGCTGGGAAAAGATGTTCTAGATTTTTTTTTGCTTGTGATAAATGGAATAGAAATTTGTACAAAACAGGTACTTTTATAGGACAAATTTGAATTTTATATTTTATGCACGACAAAAGAGGGATGCAAACAGCCCTAGGCTTCCTCCCTATAGCAACATTACCCCAAAAGTCATTATCAACATCCTACATAACACCGTGCAGCGTCACATCATCCTACACAACGCTGTATAGTATCACATCATCCTACATAACACTGTGCAGCGTCACATCATCCTGCATAACACCGCAGTGTCACATCATCCTGCATAACACCGCAGTGTCACATCATCCTGCATAACACCGCAGTGTCACATC